AACCTTGGCTTCCTCCATCACTGGAGCAAGCAAGCCTCCTGTTCGCTTCAGCTGCGTGGCTGCCGGCCGCCATCTTTGTTGGCAGTTAATTTGCATATCCTGCTGATTAGCCAATGGGAAGTGTAGCGGAGGTATGGTCAAATACCATGTTTGTCTATTATTAGATAGGATTCTTTGAAAAAGTTTCTTGTTCACTGTACTCTTACCTTCCTTTTTTCTTAGTTCCATCCTGTTAACGTTCATTTTCTTAGTTCCATCCTGTTACATTCCATTCATAATCTCTTATGATTCTTTTATACTTTTCTCCATGATCATATAATCACATAATGGACACACTATGTCACTTTCTCCCATAAACAGTCATTAGGATTTTGAAGCTATTATTTTATAAAATGGAATCATATTATATATTTTTGTGTGTTTTTTGCTTTTTTTATGAATATATACATTGTGAAAAATCTGTTTAAGCCAACTGCTTTTGCACTAGCTCATTCTTTTATTTAATTTCATAACAGTCCATGGCGTGGATTTTACTACCCTAATTTTTTTCTTCTGCTCTTGAATTTACATTTTCTTATTAATCTAATGCACTTTTAGGAATACATAGAAAAGATTGCTGGATTTAAAGGTTTTAACCATTTTTTACTGATACTGATTTCTCAAATTTATATCAGTATTGCTTTCTCAGAAACTCTACCAGTTTACATTTCTAGCAGTTACATAACAGTACCCTTTTTCACCATTAATCAGCAATAGATATTATTTTTCTTACTATTTTTGCTAGTTGAATGGGTATAAAGTGATGTCACATAATTTTAATTTGCATTTTCTTCAATACTAGGTATTAGGTATTACCATCCCTTCACATTTTATTAGTCTTATAAACTTGCTCTACCGTGAATAACTTATTTTCATTTATCACTTTAATTTTTTATTTTGCCTTTTTAATTTTGATTTCAGTATTATAAAATATTTTAAGTAACCCTTTGTATAAAAATATAATACATACCAGTGTACTCACTACCCAACTTTTCAAATCTATGATTTTGCCATTTTACTGCAGATTTTTCTCCAGTACATTATTGTGATAAATTATATTAATGGAGTTTTCTAATTTAGTCATTTTTTGCAATCTTAGGGTGAATGAACTTCGTTAATAAAAGAAACACGCATTGTTGGCTTTGGTTTGCTAATATTTAGTTTAGGATTGTTAGTAACTATTTTGGTAAGCGAGATTATCCTTTTATGATGTCTTTGTCTGGTTTTGGTATCATGGTCAAACTAAATCCACAATATGTGCCATTTTTTCTGTTCTCTTTTTTAATTCTCTGTAATTATGATTCGAATTGTCTTTCATGTTTGGTTGAACTCATATAAATTTCCTCTGGGCCTTATGGAGGTTTTCTTTTCTTCTTTCTGATTCTTCCTTATTTCTCTTTCCTTCTTCCTCCTCCTTTCTTCTCTGTTTTTTTTTTTTTAAGTGGGAGATTTTTTTTTTAATGATTATAGTTCTTTTGAAGTTTAAATCCATTTTTAAAGTTATATATTTTTAAACTGTTAATTTGTCTACATTTTCAAATTTATTGGCATAATTTATTCTAGCACTCCCTTTTTGTCTTTAAAACTTACATTTAAAAAAATTCTTAGTGTTTATCTGTGTCTTCTTTCTTTTTTGATCAGAGTTGACAAAGGTTTATTTAGTCATTGATAATCAGCTTTTATCTTGTTTATTCTCTTTATTAAATTTTGATCCCTATTAACTACTATTGTGTCATGTCCTTCTTTCAGCTGTCTTTGGGTTATTCTGTTGTTTGCTGACTTGACTTAGATAATTTAGATCAGTCTGTTATTTTTTAATGTAATCAGATTAGAGCTCTAATTTTCCCTCTTGAGTATCACAGTTATATTTTATAATTTGTAACACATGGTATTAGTGATCATTATTATAAATGTTCTTTAATTTTAGTGACCTGTGAGATATTTAGAAGTATTTGTAGCCTCTATCAGTGGGTAGAGTGTTGGCCTGTGGACTGAAGGGTCCCGGGTTTGATTCTGATCAAGGGCACACACCTTGGTTGCTGGCTCCTTCCCGGCCTGGGCCCTAATCTGGGCATGTGCAGGAGGCAACCAGTCAATGTGTTTCTCTCACATTGATATTTTTCTCCATCTTTCCCTTTCTCTTTCACTCTCTCTAAAAATCAATGGAAAAATATCCTCAGGTGAGGATTAAAAAAAAAGTATTTGTAAATACAAGGATGAATGCAAAGATGCAGTTTCAGAGTTTTTACTGAATAAGCTTTTTATATGTAACTTACTGAAATTATTACATATCTATGAGTAGACAGTTGTTTTAATAATTTAACTAATAAATTTAAAAATTTTGTTGTCAGTGTGTCAAGTTGGTGTCATTTTTGCCTACAGTGGAAAAGAATGAAAATGTCACTAAAATAAAAATTCTCTTGTTTTTTGAGGCTTATGTTTAAAATAAATTTTAAGTATTTATTTATTTCTGAATTAAGTCAAGCATGATTAGAGAACATGCTATGTATGATTATTCTCTGGCATTTTGGGAGACTTATTTTTAGTCTCCATATGATTGGTGTGTCTATATGGGTGTGTATGTGTGAATGTTCTATATGTGCTGGGATATAAAAAGCATTAATTGTGTGGCTTAGATATTTTATATGCTTTTATAAAATTCAGTGGCCTTCAACTTTTTGTCCATGCACTAGTACATCCTAAAATATCTTTGAAAAAAAATTACATACTCCTGCATTTTAAGTTGACAATTAAAAATTTTTCTAAATTTAAATAGGGCAGAGAATTTAATTACTAGTGTGTTGTGTAAAATTTGATATATAAAAATAAAGCTACTTCACTGTTCTCTTAAAAGTATCCAGTGACTTCTAAATATTAATTACTTGATGTGATGTCCTTATTATCAATTTAAACACACTGATTTAAATCAGTTTATCTGTAGAGACATCAAAAAATTGAATAATTAAAAAAATTTGTTTGGAAAAGTCCCAGCAGTCATGTTTTAAAATATAGGGCAAAATGATATTTAATTAAAAATTCAGTTATAGTTTGGGTTGAACCAAAAAATTTCAACTGCTACTGCATTTTGTGCTGATTTTGAATTGTTACTTTAGACCCACTATAAATTATAGATGTTATATAAATGTACTTTTAACTATCTGTACTCATTTCTTTTTCTGCTTCTTTCTTAGGAATCACACCTGTGTATCATAGTATGTTTGCTTTAATGAGTGAAACAGAAAGGATCTGGTATCCGCCCAACTATGTCTTCCATATAGATGAGTCAACCAGGCACAATGTACTCTACAGAATAAGGTACTTTCTTCAGTAAAGTGATTCACCTTAATGGCAAAAGAACAAAGTGGGAGAAATTATTGAACATTTTTAAAATTGTAAGGTATCTAATATCAGAGACTACAGCTAATGAGCATTTAATTTTCTTCTTGTATGACTATTTCTCTATTAGAGGAATAGCCCATACATGTTTTTTAACTAGAATGCTCTGAAAATAAAGCTGTTCTGGTGAAATGCTACTTTACCACTCATAATTACATTTTTAAAAGGTGAGCATGACTTTACTAGCAAAATCCTAAATGTCTGGAATATTTCTAGTTTCCTAGGAAATTAGATGTTTTGTGCAATAAAATGTTATCTCACATCTCTTCTTTTTAATAACTTTTTTTAAAGTGAAGAGAAGATTTTGCCAGTATTTATTACAGTCACAAGTAATAAAGTTAATCCTATATAATAAAAGGCTAATATGCAAATCGACCGAACAGCGGAATGACCAGTCGCTATGACGCACACTGACCACCGGGGGCAGACGCTCAGTGCAGGAGCTGCCCCCTGGTGGTCAGTGTGCTCCCACAGGGGGAGCGCCACTTAGCCAGAGCCAGGCTCACAGCTGGCTAGTGCAGCAGCGGTGGCAGGAGCCTTTCCCGCCTCCGCGGCAGAGCTAAGGATATCCAACTGCTGACTTAGTGCAGGGAGCGGGCCTAAGCAGTCTAGTTTATTTAATAGTTTATGGTAAAATTAGTGAAATCCAGAGGTACTTTTCTACTCAAAAGGATGAAACAAAGAAGTTTGACCCTGGCAGGTGTGGCTCAGTTGGTTGGGCCTTGTCCCATGCACAGAAAGGTTGCTGGTTAGATTCCCCAGTCAGAGCACATGCCTATGTTGCAGGTTTGATCCCTGGTAAGGGGCATGCAAGGAGGTAGCCCATTGATGTTTTGCTCTCACATTGATGTTTTTCTCCCTCTTCATCCTCTCTCTCTGAAAATTAATAAAAAATCTTAAAAAGTTAAGCTTGATCTGTGGCTCGTACTTATGAAATAGATCCATTCAATGCATAGAGTCAATGTTGCAGTAAAAAAGAGCATGGACTTTTTCATAACTTTAAAAAGAAAGGTGAAGGAATCCTTAATTAACTAAGATTCAAGAGAGACGTCCTTACCATGATAAAGGGCATCTATAAAAAACATGTATCAAATAATATTCTTAAATGATAAAATGTTTGTTAGAAGCAGTCTCTTTAAAATTAGGTAAAAGATAGCCTTAGTTACTGCTTTTGTTTAGGATTTTAATGGAGTTCCTAACTAATAAGACAGGAAAAAAAATTTAATAATTGAGAACAAAGAAGCAAAAGGTCATTATTTGGAGGTGATATTATAAGCATATTTCTACATTTCTGTTTCCTATTATTACTTCTACAGTCTATGCTTGGAAGAAGGCAGTATATTGATTTTACACTTAGATTTCTTGTATTTTCTACCTATATTTTAATTATGGTTTTATCCAGATTTCCTTTTGCTGTCAACTTGTATTTAACACTATTAGCTGTGTTTTCTGATTATGGGATAATACCTTTCGTTATGCTGGAAGTGGTTATATGTACACAGTATGTTTATATTTGATTTATTTGGAGGCTGACAGAGTGTTTTAACTGTCTTGTAGATTTTACTTTCCTTACTGGTATTGTAGCGGCAGCAACAGAACTTATCGGCATGGAATATCTCGAGGTGCTGAAGCTCCTCTTCTTGATGACTTTGTTATGTCTTACCTTTTTGCTCAGGTATGATATATTATCTACTTTTCATGTGTTAAATGATAAATACCTCTTAGTCAGGAAAATCTTCATATATGAGAAAATTGTTCCATCTTGCATAGCAGGTATAGCTAGGTAACAAAATGAAGTCTTTATTACTAATTTTTAATCCTATGGTTTATGGTTTATGGACAATAGAATTTATTTCATAGAGATTCCTTGAATTGGCCATTTTGAACATCCTTCTTCTTTTTTTAGTGCTTTAAGTTATTTAAGGATTTCACAAAGTTTAGACTGAGTTTTATAACATGATTCATGTAAACATAAGTGGCTGGAACATAGGACAATAAAATATCTTTAGAGAAGTTTGTTTTTTAATTCCTGAACAAATTCAGACTTAAATAGTGGGGAGTGAAATATAAAGAAACTTGGTAACTGCATAAAAAGTTGAGCTATAATAGCTTGTGTAGCTTCTCAGGGGAGGTTGGCTGGCTGATACTGAGTCTGAGAGCTTTGTTCTAGTTATTTGTTTATTAATACTATTATGTTAATTTTTTGTAGTGTATTTGAACAATGCTTTTTTTCTCTATTACCTTGATTTAAACAGTAATTAAAATGTTTTATCATTAAATAACTTTTGTTTTTATGTGCTAGAAGACTGAGTAGAAACTAAAGAAAGAAAATATATTTGTACTTTTGGGTAAAGATATGTTCTTGTTATTTCCCATTAAACAATAAGTTTCCATACCTCTCTCCTCTGGCCCCTGACAGCCACCTGTATACTTTATGTCTCTATAAATTTGCCTATTTGAGGTACCTCATATAATTACAGTTATATAATATTAGCTCTTTCGTGACTGGCTTATTTCTCTTAGCATAATATCTTCAAGGTTCATTCATGTTGTAGCGTGTGTCAGAATTTCCTTCCTTTTTAACCAGTTAACTGCCACACGTCCAAAATAGAAACCATCCCCACATGCCACGATATTTTGAATTTAATTGCATCTATAGATGCTTAGGGCGTACAAAGGTTAAGGCTGACTATTCCATTGTACATAGTATCACATTTTGTTTATCCATGCATCTGTTGATTTGAGTTGCTTCTACCTTTTGGCTCTTGTGAATAGTGCTGCAGTGAACATGGACATACAAATATCTGAGACCCTGCTTTTAATTTTTTTGAATATACTAGTATATCCAGAAGTGGAATTAATTAAATGAAATGGTAATTGGTTTTTTAAAAAATTTTTTTGAGGAACTGCTATCCTGATTTACATAGCAGCTGCATCATTTTATATTCCTAGTATCAGTGCACAAAGCATTTCAGTTTCTCCACATCCTTGCCAACACTTACCTTCTATTTTTTTTAATAATAGTTATTCTGGTAGGTGTGAAGTGGTATCTCATAGTTTTGATTTGCATTCTTCTAATGATTAGTGATGAATGTTTTTTCATAAGCTTGTTGGCCATTTGCATATCTTCTTTGGGGAAACTATTCAAATCCTTTGCCCATTTTAAAATCAGGTGGTTTTTTTGTTGCGTTATAAGTGTTCTTTATACATTTAAGACATTTACCCCTTAATAAATATATGTTGCAGATATTTTCTCCCATTCCATAGGTTTACTTTTCACTCTGTTGATTGTGCCCTGTGGTGTGCAAAAGTTTTTAATTTTTATGTAGTCTAATTTATTTTTTTCTTTGGTTATCTGTGCTTTTGGTGTCATATTTGAGAAGTCATTGCCTGATCCAATATCATGCACTTTTCTTCTACATTTTTTTCTTCCTTTCTTTTCCTTCCTTCCTTCCTTCCTTCCTTCCTTCCTTCCTTCCTTCCTTCCTTCCTTCCTTCCTCTCTCTCTCTCTCTCTGTCTCTCTCTCTCTCTCATTAACATGTTATTGATTTTATTTGGGGTGCTTTCATGTTTCTAAGCTCAATTGGGACAAGCTAGGACCCAAGGGAAACTAGCTGGCTTCCACTTCCTCCAAGAGCACCAATAACTGACCTTGATACTGAAATTTGGCTCAGGAGACTTAGAGGATAGAAATTTCAGGCCATGATGAACGGTAGAGGGATTTTTTCATATAGAAAGAGAGAGAGAGAAACATCAATTTGTTCCACTTATTTATGCATTCATTGGTTGCTTCTTGTATGTGCCCTAATGGGATCAAACCTGAAACGTTGGCTTATTGGGACGGCGCTCTAACCAACTGAGCTATCCGGCCAGGGCCCTTAGTATAATGCTTTGAACATATTTGGGACTCAGTACATATTTAATTAATATGTATTTTAGTTTAGGCAGTTTTGATGTAGAAGATATAATTTGAAGATAAAAGCAGTGAAATAGATTGATATATATATATATACTCTCTAGTTGGGAACCAATTTTAATCAGTTTCCATTTGCAAAATAACATTAAAATTTTATGGCAAAATGGTTGAAAATCAAAAGAGGTTGTATTCTTTTTAAATATATGTGTTCTGGAAATTACATTATCAGTTAAAATATGATAATAGATTAAAATGTAATATTGAAACTTACGAAATATTTCCGTCTAAATATTTTTTCCTTTAGTGGCGGCATGATTTTTTGCATGGATGGATAAAAGTACCTGTGACTCATGAAACACAGGAAGAATGTCTTGGGATGGCAGTGTTAGATATGATGAGAATAGCCAAAGAAAATGATCAAACTCCACTCGACGTCTATAGCTCTATCAGGTAATTTCCTTATGTAAATCCATACACATAAATGGAACTGTTGGACTTTTTATATGATTTATTTGTATTTAGTGAACTTCCCCATACTTTTTTATTTTATGATTAAAAGTTGTATGAGTAAGTTTTCCTTCTGTGCACAACACACACTTTCTTCCAGTTTTATTGAATATTGACAATAAACACTGTATAAGTTTAAGGTCAAGGGGGGGAAAAAGGAGACATATGTAGTACTCTTTGTAATATTTTAAGCAATAAAACAAAATTTAAAAATTTAAGATATACAGCATAATGACTTGACTTACATATATCATGAAATGATTACTATGAATTCAATTATAACATCAATCATTTCATATAGATAGAAAAACGAGAAAGAAAAAAATATTTTTTCCCTTGTGATGAGAACTCTTAGGATCTACTGTCTTAACAACATTCATGTATACCATACAGCAGTATAAACTGTAGTCATCATATTGTACATTGTATCTGAGTAGTACTTATTTATCAAAGAAATTATTAAAAGAGTTGGTATACTATAGAAAATATAGGTGTTCGATACCTATTTATTATTTGATTTATTTATTCTAAAAAGGCTAGGTATGGTCAGAGGACTGAAAAGAGCACCTGGAGTCATAATTTCTACCAGCAGATCCTCACATTTTCTGTATAAATAATTCAGAATCAGAATGTCTCGAATAGTGTCCATATTTTACTTGAATTACTATCACCTGCGGTTCCTGCTAAAATGGAAGATTCTTGGGCTCTAACCCAACAATTTGGATTTAGTAAATCTGAGGTGAAGTCTACAAATATGAATTTTTATAAGTGCTCCAGGAGATTGAAAAAAATAAATTTTATTGAAGTATAATTGACATATAAAATTGTAAGATATAGTTAATGTAAAAACATTCAAACCTGTAAAGAATTTTTCCTAAGTGTATTTGAGCCAAACTGTTGACAATTGCCGGGAAGCAGTATCTCAATGGATTGGGATAATGCTCCAGAGAATGGCGGTTTTTTCATCTATTTTTATACATTGCAGTCAAAAAGAGGGGATGCAGGTGGGTTACATGATAGATTAGAGATGTGGGAGAAAGCAAAGTGGGGGTGGAGGGGTGGGGCGGAACCTTTGGGATTGGATAAAAAGTAAAATGATAGACACTTATCTGTCCTCGTGCCCAGGTACATTGGTTGTGCCCAAGGGGTCCGGAAAAAGAGAAGTTACAAGTTACCTAGACATTTCAAGGATATGTTATCATAGTTGCAAAAAGACAGATAGGGTCAGTTAAGGTAAAGATTGACCTTGTCAGTGAAGACACCGGCCTAGGACATAACTACCCAGCATAACTGCTTTTAGTTAAAGTTTAATTTCAGGCCATCCTTTGTGGTTACTTTTCCCTGAGTTTTGTTAGGTTAGCATGTGGCCCCTTTCATCCACAATATTTAAAGTGTACATCATCATGATTTGATATACATTGTGAAAGGATCCCCTATGAAGTTTATTAATACATCCACCACCTCACATATTTATCTTTTTTGAGTTTTGGGGTTTTTTTGGGGGGCGGGGGGTGGCAGGGAGAAACTTTTTAAGTTCTATTCTCTTCAGCAAATTTTACCTATACATATATAGTGTTTTTAATTATAGTCACTGTGTTGTACATTAGATCCTCAGACCTTATTCATCTTATAACTGATTCAGCAGAATCTTACACAAGTGAAGCATACTCCACACACTTCAAATTATTCTTCTGCACATTGAATTTTGACAATCATGCCAAATATAATTTTTTAAAATTTCTTTTTTAAATAATTCTTTATTGTTGTAAGTATTACCAAATACAGTTTTTGAAACACTATTCTTGCAGCCCAGCTTTTATGGTTGGAAAACTTCCACTCTTTTTAAAGATATATAGGAATATGGGTATATAGTATATAAGATTGCTTTGGGTTTTTTTTTTTAAGTCTGAATACGAAATAATATGTCTTACCTATTGCATATTTACCAGAGTAAAAGTTTGAAGATGCTATGAATCTGGTTAAAACTCCCTTTATTCCTTGAAATGCTTCTCTCAATGATGGACTTAAGTCGCTGAGTGCGTTCAAAAAAGTTCATATGCAATTTGCAGGGTATCGATTTCTTGTTTCCCTCTTTGGTTTCAAGTGTTCCTTTCTTGCTTTCAGATGTTCATTAAGCCTTAACTTAAGGGTAGGAGCTATAGGGTATGATTTCAGGAACTCACTGAGGAATCTAGATTTCAAAGCCCAAAGGAAAAACAAAACCATTTCTGTTTTCACTAAGGCTTCATTCATTTGTTCGTTCATTCACTCATTAACAGCATTTATTGAATACCTGCTATATGCCAGCCCATAGGAGAACAGAGTCAGGGGAGGAATATTTTACATACCATTGATGGAAACTGAAGGAACTGAAGGAAACACAGTTGAGGAACAGAGAAACTTTGAATTTTATAAATATGAAGCCATCTCTAGGCTTATGCTATGGTGGAACACTTATGCTTTGGAGACCATGATATTGCCCAAAGTCTTGGCACAATCCTGTGGTTTCTTAATGTCAGGAATTATGCCCTCTCTTCCTCTCCCTATATTATTTAGTCTAGTGTCCTAAACTCAGTGAATGTTTAGTAATTGTATTTCTGTGGTTTTTCTTAATCAGGATATAAATGCATCTGCAAATTCTGCATTATTTTTCTTTTAAAATTATGCAGATATCAAACATTCATTATAAAATTTCATGGTATTTTAAAACAGTTTTATTGATATATATTTCACATACTGTAAAATTCACACACTTAAAATGTACAATTCAATATTTTTTATTATTGATTTGTAAGGAGTCTATATTTGGATACAAGACTACATATATAAGTTATCATATATATGTTTTGCAAATATTTTCCCATTCTGTATATTGTTTTTTCACTTTCTTAAAAGTATCATTTGTAGCACAAGAATTTAAATTTTGAAGTAGTCTAATTTTCCAGCTTTTTCTTTTGTCTGTTGTACCATGATATTTTAATTTTCAATAAATAATTTATGGCCTGTCCTGAAGTTAAAAACATACCTGTCTTGCTTGCCTTGTTAATATAATTTAACTAACTGATAGGTTCTGAATTCTCATTTAGTGCTCATTTCTGAGAAATAAAGACTCTGCTCAATGTTAAAATATTCAAGATTAATGGGAAAACAGATGAATTATTAGTTTGGGGCAGAATCTATAATAACAAAAGGGTAATATGCTAATTAGACCGGACATCCTTCTGGACATCCTTACTTCCAGACAAAGCCGCAGTGGGCAGGGGCAAGGCAGAAGTGGCAGAGGGCCCCAGCCGCGGTGGTGGCGGGCAGGGTCCAGGCCAAGGCTCTTGCACGAATTTCGTGTATCGGGCCTCTAGTTAAATAAATAAGCTGCTTTGTTCCCGGAAATATCCAGTAGAGTATGGAGCTCTGATTAGTATAACTAAATACATACCCTTTCCCAGACTTAAAAAGAAAACACATGAAAGGTGCACCTCTTTGTATCTGTGCCTGTGCGTTAGGTATGTCTGTGTCTGTCAGCACAAGCCTCTGTGCATATGAACCGCATGTGTTTGTGCATCTGTATGTGTTAGATACTTAATTGTTTGTTATTGTTAATCCTCACCCAAGGATATTTTTTCCATTGATTTTCAGAGAGAGTGGAAGGAAAGGGGTAGGGAGAGGAAGAGAGAGAGAGAGAGAGAGAGAGAGAGAGAGAGAACACATCGATTGGTTCCCTGCCGCACATGCCCTGACCTGGCTGGGAATCAACCTGCAACCCAGGTATGTGCCCTTGACGGGGAAACAAACCCTCTACCCTTTGGTGAACAGGCCAATGCTCTAACCACTAAGCACACTGGCCAGGGTGATACTTAATATTTATTTTTTTATTGTTTTCAGAGAGAAAGGGAGAGGGAGAGATAGAAGTATCAATGATGAGGGAGAATCATTGATTGGCTGCCTCCCACATGTCCCCTATTGGGGATTGAGCCTGCAACCTGGGCATGTGCCCTGACCTGGAATCAAACTGTGACTTCCTGGTTCGATGCTCAACCACTGAGCCACACCGGCTGGGCAATACTTAATTTTTTGTATGTCAATCCCTAATTGGATATTTTGGCTTAGGTGTTGGAGTATAGAAAGTGAAGGAAATAAGATTTTTCTGTTTTCATTCTTCACTTGCTCTTTAAAATCTTACATTTGCTAAAGGATAGGAAGAAGAGAACTGGAGAATGGAAGGAGTTTAACGGAGAGTCTGTTGAATTTGCAAACACTAGGCCAGGGCCAAGAACACTTACATAGCAAGAAGCTACATACCTCATATCATTAGGACTCCCTTTCTAAATAACTAAGCAGATACTAGAATTTCCAGTGGCCTACTTCAACTTTAGCAGTAAGATGAAGATTTCATTTATAGTACAAAATATAGTATAGTTTCTAAGGCAAAGCTCAATTTCAGAGCCTTTTAGAGCCTTAATTTTAGGATTCTTTAAAAAACTCAATATAAGAGAAGCATCAGAAAAATGTTTTTATGCTCTAAGAGATAACAATTTGTGTCTCTTGAAATATTTTAGTGTTTCTAACAAATCTGGTTCTGATAGCATGACGTGAAGTGTATTCATCATATTCAGGAACCACATACTCCTGTGGTATTCCCAAAAGGTGTATGTCTGGTCCTTAATTGTAGGAATCAAAGTGGAAAGCCATGTTGTATGATGTTATCTTAAACTCTCTTTTTCATCTTCAAATTAGTTTTTCAAAGCCTTATTAAATCAAGTAGTCATTGATGTCTACGTAAATTGCATTCCACATTTAGTAAGGCTTTTGGTAACTAATTTTTTTTGACAAAAGTAGATAAAGTAGGCATTTGAATTTGCATTCTGATTGTATTTTAAATCTTTTTTCAGTGTTTTCTAAACTTACTGAGGCTCTCCTATTTGCTGTATAAACTTTTTAAAATTTTATATATTTCTTTACTTACAGATATGTAATTGCTATGAAAAGGAACAGAATGTGACTTTTAAGGTCTGACGAATGAGTAGAACTTAATGGGTGGAAAGAAGTGAGTAATGGAAAAGGCCTCGTAGCAGAAGAGACCATAGGAAGAGCTCAGAGTTAGTAAGAGATGAGGCAGGAGTTTAACCATGTAGAACCTTAGAGTCATGTGGTCAAGGTTAAGAACACTAAGAAACCATGCAAGGGTATTAAGCAATGGTGACATTCAATTTGTGTTTTTAAAAGATCCCCATGACTCCAGTGTAGAAAACAGAGGGGCATAAGTGTAAATGGAAATGAGAGTCAAACAGAGTAAAGGTCATTGCTGTAGGTCCTCCAGGAGATGCAGTTGAATGGGCAAAATGAGAAAAATGGGCAAATAAGAGAAATATGTCAAAGGTATAGCCCAGGGACTATAGTGATGGATTGAATAATGGGGGTTGAGGGAGAAGGTGGTGTAAAGGGTGATTCCTGGAACTTGCAGAAGTAGGTGAATTGTAGTGCTGTTTACTCAAATAGCGAATGTTGTAAGAGGATCTTGGGAGGACTTTAGGGAGACTCATGAGTTTCCTTTGAAATATTGTCTGAGGAGCTTTGGGGCTATCCAAATGAAATGGGTAGATTGGCTTGATTGTGGAAGATAAGGGTCTGTTGTTTAGATATTTAGATGGCAATATCAAGTGATTTGCATATAGAGTATCTAGAAGAAAGACAATGTGTAAAAAATAAGAGGAGGACTCATAATTAAGTCTTGAGTAACGTCAACATTTAATCACTTAGGTAAAAGGGAATGTTGCTTTAAAGAAGATTGAAAAGGAACAGCCAAAGAGATGGTAATAAAATCAGGAAAGCTAAGGGGAGAAAATTTTAAGGAGAGCATGATTAACAGTGTTGGATGCTGCTGAAAAAATTACAAGACAAATAAACAAGAGAATTTGAGTTTTTAGCAACATTGAAGTTTTTTTTAAATATATATTTTATTGATTTTTTTACAGAGAGGAAGGGAGAGGGATAGAGAGTTAGAAACATCGATGAAAGAGAACCATCGATCAGCTGCCTCCTGCACACTCCCTACTGGGTATGTGCCCGCAACCAAGGTACATGCCCTTGACTGGAATCGAACCTGGGACCCTTGAGTCTGCAGGTCGACGTTCTATCTGCTGAGCCAAACCGGTTAGGGCAACATTGAAGTTTTTAATTTTATTTTAGTAAGAGCAGTTTCTGTGGGATTATGGAGCAGAAGCCAAATTTGAGTGAGTTGAGAAGTAGGATGGCAGGAAAATTAAAATGGTTTTAAATGCTTTCCAAAAAAGACCATATATGCTGTAGCTGGAGAGGATGTAGGGTAAAGAGATTTTACATTTAGGATGGGAAGAAGATTAGTATTTTCAAAACATGTGGATAGAAGAGAAAGAATAAGTAGAGTAAGAGTCTCCAGAAAGCAGATGTCTGTTAGAGGAAGACAGGGTATAGAGAATACATGTGAACGAAGTGGCTTTAACTACAGGTTTACACCTACCTCATTCATGTAGTAGGTGAAAAGGAGGAGAGACCAAGTGCAGTGTATACAGGCTGCCAGCAGGGTATTGAGGGAACTCTGCGTAGAGATGCTTTAACTTTTTTTTTTTTAAGAAAGAGATGAAGTCATCAACTGAAAGTGAGAAGGGATGTAGCTGAGGTTTGAGGGAGGAGGTTTGAAGAAATTGGAGAAGGTTTGGCATGGTTGTGGGACTTGGGAAATTGATTGAGCCAGAGAAATGTCATAAAAGTGATGGAAGTGATGAAAGCCTATTTAAAACTAGAGGCCCGGTGCATGAAAATTCATGCACTGGAGCGGGGGGGGGGGCCCTCAGCCCGGCCTGTCCCCTCTCACATTCCAGGAGCCCTCAGGGGCGGGGGGCGACCTGGGGATCAGGGGGAAGGCGACGCCCCATCACACCTCTGCTGCTGCCACTGCCGGCAGCGCAAGCCTCAGCCGGCTCTGGTTACCTGAGCCTTGGGCGGCCCTGGGCGGCTGGGCAGCCGCCATCTGAGGCTTGCCTGCACCTCAGGCATCAGCTGGGCAGCCACCATCCGAGGCTTGCCTGCTCCTCGGGCTGGCCCTGGGGGGCTGAGGGGACTGGGCGCTGCCATCTTTGAGGGCGTGATAGTCAATTAGCATATTCCCTCTTTATTGGCTGTGGGCACTGCCATCTTTGTGAGGGTGTGACTCAATTAGCATATTCCCTCTTTATTAGATAGGATAGGTGACTATGAATTTACGATGCAGCACATGTACCTTGTCAGATAACTTTCTCCAGCAGCGCTGGCTGTTTACAAAACAGAGAGTTCCTCCAGGGACTTACAGTGGAGAGTGTGTGAGTTGGGAGTGGGGGTGAGGGGAGTAGGGAGTAGGAAGTGGTAAATTGGTAAATGTTTAACAACCTGTTCTCAGAGAGGTGGCAGGGAAGGTCTGGTTTGTAATTTTTGCTGATATCCATGGATACTCCCTTCACAGCCAATCTCAAGGTATCAACTTGATACCACTGAATTGGGAAGAGATGAGCAGTAGCAAACCCTTTTCACTACTCATATATGATAGACATTCATAACCTCAAAAGCATAGTACTAAAATATAAAATAAAAATTTAAATGTAAAATAATTAGGAAGTAATATGTTTTGAGTACTTATTATCTATATTTTAATATAATTTATTCAGTTGTAAGTTTTTATAACTTAAATTTTAATGATGGCTGTTTAACAGCTCAAAATAATTCCTAAAGTGTAATAATAAGCTGTTAGCATTAGCCACTCCATCACCGGCTGTGGATACTCAAGTACAGTATAGTGTGATAAATGATGTTATGGAGCAGTGCACAGAATACTGTCAGACAAATCAGGCTGCATCTAGAGGTTCCAAAGGTTTCCTGGATTAGGTGATGCTTGAGCTGAGACTTGTACAATGAGTAAGAGCTAAACTTTTAGAGGCTGGGTGATGGGAAGAAGGAGTAGCATATGTGAAAGGCATGGAAATTTAATATAGTTGTTTTTGCAGAAATAAAATGTTAATTATTTGTCAGATATTTGAGCAGGAGGGAAATAAGTTATCCACGTTCTTTAGGATATTTTACATAGAGAAGGAAGTAGTACAAAAGACTCCAAATGAAATTGTTTGATTGCAAAAGAATTATTAGGATTTATTGAAGCTGGCCTATAAAACTGTTTATCCAACTATACATTATTGACTGTATCCTGTGCAGTGAGAAAACTTGAAGTCATTTGCAAAGTCCACCATTTCTTACTTCTTTTCAGTGGTAACTATGTCACCTTTCTCCACTTGTGTTCTTATAGCACTTACCATGGAAAAAGGTGGTAAGTTCTCTTTTACTTTTGTTTTAGATTTATATTCCAAATGTTTTGTTTCACTGTGTGTGTTCTTTATGCCTAGCTATAAGACATTCTTACCAAAATGTATTCGAGCAAAGATCCAAGACTATCATATTTTGACAAGAAAGCGAATAAGGTACCGATTTCGCAGATTTATTGAGCAATTCAGCCATTGCAAAGCCACTGCCAGAAACTTGAAACTTAAGTATCTTATAAATCTGGAAACTCTTCAGTCTGCCTTCTACACAGAGCAATTTGAAGTAAAAGAACCTGGAAGAGGTCCTTCAGGTGAGGAGATTTTTGCAACCATTATAATAACTGGAAACGGTGGAATTCAGTGGTCAAGAGGGAAACATAAAGAAAGTGAAACACTGACAGAACAGGTAATTCTTAATGATATGTTCTCATTCTTTGTTAATTTAAGTAGAATGGCAGTAGAAGTAAAGTAATTTTAGTCATTTGAAACATGGCCTTGTACTTTTCTTCTCCCATTGGTAGAAGTGTAAGTGTAGTGGTTATATCTATAGATCTTTTCTGATTGTTCTCAAATGTTTTTTATTTAATTCTTTATGACAAAATTAGTAATGGTATTCTTATAGTTTCAGAAATGGCATAAAGTTATTTTTAAGGTAGTTTTGCCTCTTTATTTCTTTTACTATTTTTGAAAAATATTTTTTCTTTTACTATTATTGATATAGGAGGCATAATCATAAAATTTAATATCCTAGAAAAGGTTAATTTTAATTGATTTTATGATGAAGTATGGCTGTTAAATAATTTAGTATGTCTTAGGATGGTATTATAAGTTTAAGTTTGTTCTTATCTGTTGTTGTTAGAATATTATTAGAGATTTTAAAATATTCTAGTCTTCATTCTGTGGTAAACTTTTAATTTTCTGGCAATTGTTGCTATTACTGTTGATTGGATTGAAGAGTACTAGAGCACACTTAAGATTCCTGGCACCCTTTAATGCTTTCATTTTTAAGTCAAAGCAAGATACAGTGTAGTCTAGGGTGAATATTGGGGGAGAGAATCCCATTTAATACTTACCTATTGCTATCAATACTTTTTTATCTTAAAGAATTTGTTAGTGAATGTTATATCATAAGTCTTATTTTAAAATGGCTCCATAGATTCTGTTTTTAATTTCAAATACTCTTAATTATAGGATTTACAGTTATATTGTGACTTTCCCGATATTATTGATGTCAGTATTAAGCAGGCAAGCCAAGAAGGCTCAAATGAAAGCAGAATTGTAACTATCCATAAACAAGATGGTAAAAATCTGGTAAGTTTGCTTTATAACTAAATAATGGTTATGTTATACAGTTTTTAGAAGTATTTATTTTTAATATCTAAGGTTTCTTGTAGAAATTTTTATTATAGTTTTAAATATAGCTCTAAATATCAGTTTAGTAAGCTTTTTTATTACATCTAGCTTTTTGTGTCACTACCAAAACTGTCTTCCCATGGAGTTTCTTGTACATTAATGTGTTTTTCATTCATTTTTATGATTAGTAAAGCATTAGCTACTTTTTCTTCCCACTCTGGGTTGCACTAGTTCCCTGTTGTTCTTTTGTTTGTTTGTTTGTTTTGTTAATCCTCACCCGAGGATATTTTTCCATTGATTTTTAGGGAGAGAGGAAAAGAGAGGGGAAGACAGAGAGAAACATTGATGTGAGAGAAACACATCAATTGGTTGCCTCCTGCATGAGCCCTGACCAGGGCTGGGGCCAGGGAGGAGCCTGCAACTGAGGTACCTGCAACCGAGGTACGTGCCCTTGACCAGAATCGAACCCGGGCCCCTTTGGTCAGCAAACTGATGCTCTATCCACTCTGAGCCAAACTGACAAGGGCCCTGTTGTAGTTCTTATTCCTGATTATCATCTTTTTTTTTTTTTTACCTGTGGATATGTGAATAATACCAGTCATACTGCCTAATTAAAGGAGAGAAAGAAATCAAAACAATACTACCAGGAATTTATATAGCAAAATGTAAACCAATCCCAGGTCAGCCTGCCCAAGCTGTAAGACATGACTGATTATAAAAGATTTAACCCTTTCTCTTTTATTAAATATCTTCAGAAATCCCACTTATTTTAATTGAAATGACATGTAACTAGACACTAAATGGGTCCAAGGCCGACTGTCACTACTTGAGCCAAATTAAGCAGAGACAAGATTAAATCATATCCTATCTAATAAAAGAGAAACATGGTAATTAGCCGTACATCCGCTACCCTTCCCATTGGCTAATCAGTGAGATATGCAAATTAACTGCCAGCCAAGATGGCGGCCGGCAGCCAGGCAGCTGACCCGAACAGGGAGGCTGGCTTGCTCCAGTGACGGAGGAAGCCAGGTTCCCTGCCTGCCTTGCCGGCCTCTCAGCTGCTCTCTAAGAAACATTGTAACAAATATAGAAGCTAAACAAAACCCCAGAAACCTCCTTTCAGTCAGCCGGGCTTCAGCCAGCAGGATCGCAACATTGTTTCAAATACAGAAGGTAAACAAAGGCCAGAAACCTGCTTTCAGCAGCGGAGGCCTCATAGCTGGAGCCGAGCCTCAGAGCTAAAGCTGGCCCAGAATAAAAAAAGAAAAGAAAAAAAGGAGCGGTTGGGAGCTTCAGTC